ATTTAAGATTTAGAGGGGTGGCCAAAGTTATGGAGGGGGTGACCAACGATCCAAGGAAAACGAGGCTTTAGAAGGGGTTGTTTCAGATTCTGAAGTGGCTAAAGTTATGGAGGGGGTGGCCGATGATCCAACAAAGAACGAGAACTACATTACAGTTCTCAGTATTGACGATGACGGCGGTATTAAAGGGCTTATTCCAACCACCATCATCTCATTATTCTTATAGAAGTTACATGTATTTGTAGTTTGTTCAAATTTGTTGATTCAATATGCTGTATTATGCTTATACGAGTCGCTGGTTATATGGGTCACTTTACTGATCGTTGAGATAGTTGTAATCTGTTAGATTAGTTTTGCAACATATTGTTTAGTTAGTGTAGCTATCGTTTACTCTTTTGTATAAATATATCATTCATGTACGGTTTATGGAACTATAAAGCAGCATACAAATAGCTTTTACAATAGTTCCTCTATTTTATGATTAATTTTATATTTTATGTTTTATGGATTGGACAAAGAAACTTGCGTTGATGTTAGAATCACTCAACGTAGTCGCCATAACCAGTACTGGTGGTCTATAGATGACCATGCTAACGATGCCTAATGAGAGAAATTAGACCTTATTCACTACTATCTAATTGAAAGATTTATACCTTCAACATTGACCCATATATTCCCTCATAAATTCTAAAGTTATTCTTGTTTTTGTTGGTTCTTTCTTTATAAATGTGTTAGTATTATGGTAAAAGATTAAAACCCTCGACTAACATAGAGAGATTATTGTGTAGAGAGTTTTTTGTTTTGTTGTTCTAAGTTGTTTTTCTTCTTTTATTTTTTTGATGATGGAAAATGCCTCTTCGTTCAGATTTGCTGATTTTTTTACTTTCTTTCAAAAACATTTTCTTACTTATTGTTGTCTCGTCTGTTTACTATAAAACGAGCGTTCAAACAACTTCTTACCTCCATTGTTGTCTCACCAGATTATTGTAAACAAGCCCGTGAATTGATGTGCAAGTTCTTTTAAGGTGAAAATTATCAAGGTGACAAACTCTTTTGTGGTGGAAGCTATGGAGGTGATAAATTGTTCTATGGCCAAGGCTTTGGAAGAGCTGTTTCATATTCAAAGGTGGCCAAAGTTATAGAGGGGCTGACTGACGATCCAACCAAGAACAATTGAGGAAATGAATTTTTGGAGAGGCATGACCATTATCACATGTGAAAAGGAATTTTTAGAAAGAAATATTTGGGTACGACGTTTCTTAGGAAGCAAGATGCAATTTTCGGATTTTTTTTCGATTATAGGAAATATCTCTTCATTCAGTTTTTTCGATTTTTTTGCTTTTTTGAAAAAAACATTTTCTTACCTATTGTCGTCTCACCTGTTTATTATAAAATTGACGTTCGAACCACTTCCTACCTCTATTATTGTCTCACCAAGTTATTGTAAAAAGGCTCGTAAATTGATTGTCGAGTTCTTCTATGGTGTAAATTACCAAGGTGACAAACTGAGAAACGAGAAATTGGAGAGGTATGACCACCATCACGGGGTTAAAGGGATTTTTAGAAAAAAAAATATTTTGGTACAACGCTTCTTAGGAAGCAATGTGTACTTTTCGGATGTTTCCAATTATGGAAAATGTCTCTTCCTTCAGATTTTCCGATTTTTTACTCTCTCTCAAAACCATTTTTTTTGCTTACTGGTGTCTCGCCTGTTTATTGTAAAACAGGTGTTCGAACCACTTCTTACCTTCATTGTTGTCTTGCCAAGTTATTGTAAAAAAAGCTCGTAAATTGATGTGCGAGTTCTTCTATGGCAAAAATTACCAAGGTGACAAATTGATAAACTAGAAATTGGAGAGGCATGGCTATCGTTAGTGGTGGAAAGGAAATTTTAGAAATATTTGAGTACATTGCTTTTTAGGAAACAACATGCAATTTTCATATTTTTTCCAATTATGGAAAATATTTCTTCCTTTAGATTTTCCGATTTTTCGTCTCTCAAAAACCTCTTCTTACTTATTATTGTCTCGCCTGTTTATTAAAAATTGGGCATTCGAACTACTTCTTACCTCCACTGTTGTCTTGCCAAATTATTGTAAAACGGGTGTAAATTGAATGACGAATTCTTCTGTGGTGAAAGTTATGGAGGTGATAAATTTTTCTGTCGCTAAAGTTTTGGAAGGGGTTGTTTCAGATTGAGAGGTGGCCAAAGTTATGTAGGGGGTGGCCGACAATCCAAGCAAGAACAAGACTTCAGAAGTGGTAGTTTCGCAGCCAAAAATGGCTAAAGTTATTAGGGGGTGGTCGACGATCCAACCAAGAACCAGAACTACATTACAGTTCTGAGTATTGACAACGACAGTATTGAGGGCTTATTCCACCCACCATCATATTATTATTCTTATCGGAGTTACAGGTATATGTCGTTTGTTCAATTTCATTTTGATTCAGTAAGTTGTATAATTGATTTTTTTTAACTCCTTTCATCTGCCACATACCCTCCCCCAATCCTTTCATCTTCCTAACCCCCTTCCAATTATTACATACCCTCTCCCAATCCTTTCATCTTCTTAATCCCCTTCCAATCCATATATAAATATGTGTCCTCTCTTTCTCATACCAACCAAAAATCAAAAGGTGGTGGATGGAACAAAGTGAAAAATTTTCCAAGTGGTATGAAGGTATGAAAATTACTCTCTTGCAACGACAACAACAATGCACATATGGGTGATCGAAAGGAGAATTGATAGTGAAGAGAAACCAAATTAAAGCTGAGTTGATGGTATCGGTTCACTTTCCCCAAATTTATCATTGTTCAGGTTTCAAGAAATTCTAGAGTACGATGTGTCGAGATGGTGGTCGATGGAATCGAGATAAAGCAAAATTCGATTATTCTCATAATTTGGATAATAAGAATGCTTATGAGTTTGATTTTTATTTATTTTTTTTTAAACTGATGCTTTTGATTTATATATATGTGAAATGTTGTAATTATTTTTACAAAGTTAGGGCAAACAAACAATTTTTATCCCTCATAATATGATCAGGTTGGACCTTTTAAGATTTACTCTTTCTCTCACTCTTACCTTTCTTTTTCATTATAGAATGAACAAACCCAATGATTTAACGTCACACAATTTAACAAAGATAAAATGTAATATAATAATTTATAATCAAGAAAATTAGAGGTAAATTAAGAACGTTCATTCATTAAAAAAAAAAAAAAAAACTTGCACGTTGGTGCTTTTTCATCTTTCTTACACTTCAAATTTGTACTTACTTTTCATGCTAATMTTTCATCATCTTCTTTTATTACAACAATATCATACATTGAATTTATATTTATATATAATCACTTTCTATCTTTAAAATGATAATATTATAAACTTAAAAAACACTATTTGTTTTACTTTAATTTAGAACTACAAGATTGCACGTGTTTCTTACTAGTATTTATATATGCTGTTGGTTATATGGGACACTTTACTGATCATTGATTTAGCTGTAATCTATTAGATTAGTTTTGCAACCGATTGTTTAGTTAGTTTAGCTATCGTTTACTTTTTGTATAAATATCTCATTTACATATTGTTTATTGAACAATAAAGCAGCATATAAATAGCTTTTACAATATTTCATTTATTTTATGATTAACTTTTTATTTTATGTTTTATGGATCGTACGAAGAAACTTGCGTTGATGTTAGGATCGCTTAGTTTAGTCACTAGAACCAGTACTAGTGGTCTATTGACGACCATGCTGATAGCACTCAATGAGAACAATTAGACGTTGTTCTCTGCTATCTAGTTGAAAGATTTATAATTTCAACATTAACCCATATATTTCCTCAGAAATTGTAAAGCTATCTTCTCCTCTTTTTATTTTTGTTGGTTCGTTCTTTATAAATGTGTTAGTATTATAGTAGAAAGATTAAAACACTTCACTAATATAAAGAGCTTATTGTTCGGAAGGAATGGGAAAGAGTTTTCTGTTCTGTTATACTAAGTTATATTTCTTTGTTTTATTTTTCTAATGATGGAAAATGTCTCATTCTTTAGATTTTCCCATTTTTTACCTTCTCTCAAAATTTTTTTCATACTTATTGTTTTCTCCCTTGTTTATTGTAAAAACGGTACCTAGAGTACCCCTCACCACTTCTTTGTTCGGCACTCGAGGATTCACCGACACGGCTAGGTTTAAACCATGGCTCTGATACACGTATCTCCACAATGGTATGATATTGTCTGCTTTGGACATAACCCTCACGGCTTTGCTTTTGGTTTCACCCAAAAGGCCTCATACCAATGGAGATAATTGTCCTCTCTTATATACCAATGATCATTCCCTTCCCTAGCCAATGTGAGACTTTGTTTGCAATCACCTTACAAACCCAACAAACTCTTTTGTGGTGGAAGTCATGGAGATCATAAATTGTTCTGTGGCCAAGGTTTTGGAATGAGCTATTTCAGATTCAAAGGTGATTAAAGCTGGTAGTGGCAACGACTGAGTTGAGAGAGGAGAGGAAGAGATATAGGAATTAGGGTTTGGTTTGAAAATGAGAGGTGGGGTCGAAAATGAGGGGTGGGGTTGAGATTGAGGACCATCGAACTCATGTGGATTGCACATGAATTTGGTGTTTGGTGAAATCATATGCATTACACACAAATTCATGCACACCATTTTTTACAACACATGTGGCTTCAATTGTACGAGCCACATTAGACGCATGGATGCGAGTTGCGCATGCAAATTTGCTAAATCATGTATATCCCTACCCCACTTTTCAAACTAGTTTGAAAACTATCCTATTATTATTTTTTATTTTTTAAATTGTGTTATTTAAAAAAAAACCCATTATTTACCTATTAATAATATTTTATTTTATGTACTAAAAAAAATATATTTTTTATTGGTATTTTCTTAGGTTAATTGTTTTACAAAGGAAATGACAATTATGGAATGTCAAATCAAAGCCCATATGGAAATATCGATGGGAATTTAAATCCCTCGGTATTGCATCACTCAATAAATAGCGTTTTTTATATTCTCTCTTCCGATTACTGCAACTCGGAAGAAATCGCAGGCGACGGAAATGGAATCCAAGATGGGCAAATTCTTCGGGTCGGTCTCCAATTTCTTCTCTGGCGGCGATCACATTCCATGGTGCGATCGCGATGTCATTGCCGTATGTTCAATTCGCCTCTTTCTTATTCTTCTACTCATCTTTGATTTGCTGATTTATTACCAGAATCTATAACCTACCCACTCTTTTTTAGATTATGGTTTGGTTTACTTTGTTTCTGAAATCAGGTTGCTGGATTCTTAATTAGGATAGTGTATATTTGAAGTTAATTTCAGTACAACAGTACTCGAATTGTTATAGGGAAGTTCCTTCAGTTTCTTACCCTGATGAAATCGTTTATAAAGTTATTCAATTGCTTTTTGTGGCTGTGTGGACTTTAGACTTGACTTTGGCCCCTACAACTTGTTTATCTTTTTCCTAATATCTTCATTTCTATATCCAAGTTTTCCAATTTTCCGGAGATTCGTACCTTCTTGTTCTAGGGCTTGTGTTTTTTTTTTCTTCTTAATTTGCAAGCTTGAACATTATACGCCTAAATTTTAATGGGCGAGATCGAGGCTTCCTGCATTCTTTTCAATTTATTGCAAAAATTGTAGCTTTGACTAGTCTTTGCCTTCAGTTTACTCACGAGCCAGGACATTACCATAAAAATTTCAGCACCGGAACGATCAGTTTTTCTTGATTCTTCTTTAGCTCTATATGACTACTGGCTACCCATTTTACCTTAGTCCATTGGAGGGAGTTTCAAGGCTATATTTTTCTATCCTTGCATTCTTTCCTTTTTGAAATCTTCATGGCTATCTCCATGTCCTTTTTTTCTGTATCATACTAATAGATGTTAGCTGCAGGCACGACAGTTGATGCACCCATAAATAGAAGGTTGCCTAGTGAAATTAGTTATTGTACGCATAATCTATCTCAATTCTCAAACGTCCATAGTTATTATAAAACACACCCAAACAACCCCTTCGTTGTACATTTACTTTCCTTTATATTTTCTCCTTTTCATCTTTTTATATTATAAATTGTTGATATAGATACAGAATCATTGGATTCGTATTGCCTTCAATAGGCGTTACGTTCATCAGTGGATTTATAGATCCGGATGGACGTGTCAACGGAGGCATAAAATAACTGCAACTTTCAAAACCTATTCGTGTTCGTTTCAATCGGAGGCAAGCTATGAGTTGTTTTGTTGCTCGTAGCTTTAATGGTTTGATGTTGTGCCATTTGATTTGTTTTCTGAATCTAGAGAATCATTGGAGTCGTAGTTTCATGTTTTTCTCCATGGTTCAGTCGTTATTTTTTCCTCTATTGTTTAGTTGCAAACCAGAAGTTAAATCATCTTGGTGACTATTTTTT